AAATAAAACAAAATTCCAATGATATTCAGGAAATATTCCTTTAAATTGAAAGTTTATGAGCCAATAACCCAGATCAATTTCCATATGGTATTTTCAAAACAGTGATAAGCAGTGATACTGTGTCTTGGCTAACAAAGTCGATGTCGATAAAGAAGATTAACGAATGTGGGTCTCATTGAAAAAGGTACCATTAAACAAAATCAAAAGAGCACTAAAAACAGCTGTTTGAGCAATATATACGTCACAAAAGAGCACTAGAAAATGCCATTTGAGCAATATAAAGGTAAAAAAAGACACAAAAAGCACAGTGAATGTCCCAGGGAAAATTTCAAAAACGCTCAACAAAAAATAAGAAATGAGCAAGAAACGTATAAAATTAGCACTCAGAAAAATAAATTGAGCATTTTATTGGCCATGAAGGTCACTAAGAACGAAAACAATATCTTTTAAAAACCTGCAAATCTTCATCGAACCATAGACAAACAGACATAACACTCGCATCTTGTACATCTTGTACATGTGTAAACGTCAAACGCAAGGAAATTAACTATGGGCACCACCGGCGGAGGTGTTATCAACTAACACATATTTAAATTGACCGTTAAATGCGTGTTCGATGTACAAGATGCGAGTGTTATGTCTGTTTGTCTATGGTTCGATGAAGATTTGCAGGTTTTCAAAAGATATTGTTTTCATTCTTAGTGACCTTCATGGCCTATAAATTGCTCAAATTATTTTTCAGAGTGCTAATTTTATACGTTTCTTGCTAATTTCTTATTTTTTGTTGAGCGTTTTTGAAATTTTCCCTGGGACATTAATTGTGCTTTTTGTGTCTTTTTTTACCTTTATATTGCTCAAATGGCATTTTCTAGTGCTCTTTTGAGACGTATATATTGCTCAAACAGCTGTTTTTAGTGCTCTTTTGATTTTGTTTAATGGTACCTTTTTCAATGAGGCCCCCATTCGTCAATCTTCTTTATCGACATCGACTTTGTTAGCCAAGACACAGTATCACTACTTATTGCTGTCTTGAAAATACCATATGGAAATTGATCTGGGTTATTGGCTCATAAACTTTCAATTTAAAGGAATATTTCCTGAATATCATTGGAATTTTGTTTTATTTTATATTGCGCAGTGTTCGTTTTTAATTGCTCATTTTTACTTTCCTGCATGAATTATTTTCTTTTCTTTAAGAACGATTCATATTTTACGATGGCTCATCCTCATGTTCAAGCATACATTTATCTTCTGGTCCCTGGAACTTTTTCAGTTTGTAAAAGATATTTTCATTTTTTTTTTCTTGGGGAAATAATCACGATTTTACAGCATAATTGGATTAAAACAGTGATAACTGTGCGCTTTGTGTGGGATATTTTAGATTTATTTATTGCGGTTATTCAATATGACATTACTCATTTTGCCACTTTTATGGGAAAATATCTTCAACTGCAGGTGACGAAAGTTAGTTATTTAGTGCTCAAATTTCCTAATTTAGTGGAGATTCATCCTTATATAATTGAGCGTATTTTATTTACTATTGCCCTTTTTGCCATTTTTACCGCTCACATTCAAATTATAAAAAGAAGCTTTTAATTTGTTTATTGCCTTTTTCTTCATTTCTATTGCAACTTGTTTTTTGTTTATTGGTGCACCCCTGTAGTATTTAGTGGCCAATTTGAGATTTTTCATTGCTCATTTCGCTTTTTTTATTGATGATTAATTGTGCTGCCATTCGAAAACCCGGTAAACCCGCGTCGGATTATAACTCGTATCGTCCCATCGCGATGTTGCCCTGTATACGGAAATTGTTGGAGAAAATGATTCTTTTTCGTCTAGACAAATGGGTCGAGTCGAATGGTTTACTTTCAGATAGGCAATTTGGATTTCGGAGAGGCAAAGGAACGAGCGACTGTCTTGCGTTGCTTTCAACTGAAATTCAACTGGCCTATGCGCAAAAACAGCAAATGGGTTCAGTTTTCTTGGACATTAAGGGGGCTTTTGATTCTGTTTGTATCGATGTCCTTTCGAATAATCTCCACGATAGTGGGCTTTCACCAATTATGAACAACTATTTGAGCAACTTGTTGTCTGAGAAATATATGAGCTTTTCTCATGGAAACTCGACAACTTCACGAATTAGTTACATGGGTCTCCCCCAGGGCTCATGTTTAAGCCCCCTTCTTTATAATTTCTATGTAAAAGACATTGATGGTTGTCTTGATGAAAATTGCTCGCTAAGGCAGCTTGCAGATGACGGGGTTGTGTCCGTTATAGGGCCAAGTGCACCGGACCTGCAAGGACCATTGCAAGATACCTTAGACAATTTGTCTACTTGGGCTATGAAGCTGGGTATCGAATTCTCTCCGGAGAAAACTGAGTTGGTTGTTTTTTCTAGGAAGCATCATCCTGCACAGTTACAGCTTCAACTAAAAGGGTAGAACAATCACTCAAAGTATATCTTTCAAGTATTTAGGTGGCTGGTTCGATTCCAAAAGCACGTGGGGAAAACATATTGCGTATGTGAAACAAAAATGCCAACAAAGAATCAATTTTCTTCGTACAATTACCGGAACTTGGTGGGGAGCACACCCGGAAGATCTGATCAGGTTATATCGAACAACCATCTTGTTGGTTCTAGAGTACGGTAGCTTCTGCTTTCAATCCGCGGCGAAAACACATATCTTGAAGCTGCAACGGGTTCAATACCGTTGCCTCCGAATCGCACTTGGCTGTATGCACTCGACGCATACGATGAGCCTCGAAGTACTCGCGGGTGTTCTCCCACTGACAGATCGTTTCGCGGAACTGTCCTTCCGGTTTCTTATCCGTTGTGAAGCAATGAATCCATTGGTAATAGAAAACTTTGAGAAGCTGCTCGACAGAAATCCTCAAACAAGATTCATGAGTCTCTATTACGAGTACATGACGATGGAGATTGGCCCTTCTTCATTCAATTCCACTCGTGTTTGCCTCCAAGACTTTTACAGTTCCTCTGTAAATTTTGATCTGACCATGTTGCAAGAAATCCGTGGAATACCAGATCACCATCGGTCGATGGTTGTTCCCTTATTTTTTGCAAACAAGTACCACCATGTCAGTAACAATAAGAGTTTTTTCACAGATGGGTCAACTATAAACGCTTCCACTGGATTTGGAGTATTCAACGAATTTCATAGCGCCTCATATCAACTGCAAAAACCCTGTTCCGTATACGTTGCGGAACTAGCAGCCATATTCTACGCAGTAGAGCAAATTGCCTCACTACCATCTGATCACTATTTTATTTTTACAGATAGCCTTAGCTCGTTGGAGGCTATTCGATCAATGAGGCCGATGAAGCACTCCTCGTATTTCCTTACCGAAATCCGAGCAAAATTGAGTACTTTATCTAACTGCTCCTATACTATCACCTTAGTTTGGGTCCCATCTCACTGCTCAATTCCAGGTAATGAGAAAGCGGACTCGCTAGCTAAGGTGGGCGCTATGGAAGGCGATATTTTTGATCGACAAATCGCCTTTGCGGAATTTTTCTCAATTACCCGTCAGCACGTCCTCACCAACTGGCAACAAAAATGGAATGAGAGTGATCTGGGAAGATGGTTACATTCTATTCTCCCACAGGTGTCGAACAAGCCATGGTTCAAAGGATTGGACATGAGCCGTGACTTTATACGGGTCATATCAAGGCTCATGTCCAATCACTACTCGTTAGACTCGCATTTCTTCCGAATCGGGCTCGCAGGCAGCAATTTGTGCGCTTGTGGTAGTGGCTATCACGATATCGACCACCTGCTTTGGTCATGCACTTTACATTGTGTTGCTAGATCCGAGTTATCCGCATGCCTCAGGGCCCGAGGAAAACAACCTTTGCGGCCCATTAGAGACATCTTGGCGAGCCGAGATCTCGAATATTTTAATTTAATTTATGTGTTTTTAAAACGGATCGATCTGAGGATTTAGTAGTTAGTGTCATCTTGTGTTCCCCCAAGTTGTTAGCTGCCCATCGGTGTACCCCCATGTTTGTCTTTTTCATCAGTTGGTCGCTTAGTTCGAGATCAAGAGCACATTGCTCTCCAAACCTTGTGTTCTCAATCCCTACCCTGCCATCCATTTGTTAAAATGTGTTACCCCTAACCTCGAGATAGCCGCGAGTAATCGGCCCCCGCTTTACTAACGTTAGTTTTAAGAAACTTTGTAATCTAAACAATGAATATCGGCTCCGCAAAGCTACGGCAAATGAGCCTGGAAAAATAAACGCATTATAAAAAAAAAAAAAAAAAAAAAAACGTTGGGTTTCCACACTTTACTACCCCTATTGGGTGGTTTTGCTCCTCAGTTTTCGACAACATTAGAAGGAGCAAAGCAGAGACAAACTAGTCAAAAGGTACAAGTGAACTGGACGTTGGGTTGGGTACTGTTTTCTTACCGTGTAGATCATTCAGATAAAATCCCAGGATCCAGTGGTGTCAAGGACATGGGTGAAAAACTAGATTCTGGTCATACTACAAATACAGTCAACGAGAGCACAAACGATGATCGAGTGACAAATACAGGATCAGCGCAGGGATACAGAGAAATTAATCTCCAAGCGAATATAAATCCACCTATCGGTCACCGCAAAACCAATGTTGGGGAGAAAGTGCGACCTAATAAGAGCGGCAAATCCAATCAACAACATTAAAAGTAAGCAAATAAAATGTATTCAAGTGAATCTGCACCATGCATATCAAGCTGGTAAATCAACAGTAACAGCTCTTCACACGCTTGTTATAAAACTAGAAAAAAATCTTTTGAATAAACAAAAATGTCACTAGCAGCGTTCATTGATATTGAAGGAGCATTTGATAATGCATCTTATAACTCCATGAAAAACAATGTGTTGAAGCGTGGATTCGACAAAAGCATCGTTAGGTGAATTAAACACTGAGACAAATAACCATACTATCAATCCAAGTCATCCTTCATAAAATTAGAACACACATCATCCAATTACTTACCATCAACCTTAACCGACCGATCAATGGCAGTAAAAATAGCCCCACTTGTACGGTACCGGCCGAACATTCACAAGCAAGACAGGCTGCCGATGATATCTAAAAACGGCGGGAAGAGTACGTTAATTTTGAGCTGTTAATGTGTAACGAAAGCGTTCGACTTACCACCAACAGTATCCTCACGATGCCCGTGGGACTGGTCAGATGTGAGGCGTCGCAGTGTAGCGCAACGCCCCACGGTAGCGGTGTATTCCCTATCCTTTGACGATAATGTGCATGCGAGTCCCAGGATGTGCAGGTGCCCAACGGTGATTCGAGAGAGATTGAAAGTTCACCAGCTCTGCTGCCAGCTATCTCGAAATCCTGCGGGTATTTGGGGGATGATAGTAAAAGTTAGTCATCATCAGCAGGTGTATGTGAGTGTGTGTGTGTGTGTGGCGGTAGAAGATCTCCTAAAGATATTTGAACATTTAATGAATGGATATAGGGTATACGTCCCTAACCTCGGTCTAATATGCAGCCATAGATTACGTTTTTAATCATAACTCATCAATTAATTTACCTGCAAACGATATTCTACTGCTAAATGGTATGCTTAGATATGCTTATCATGTCGTTTGCTATCAGGAACCGCAAAAAGTTGAAAAACTTACTTTTTTTAAGACAAAAACTCACCAGGGAAATGTATGTAATATCGGTCTATTGTCCCCAAATTGGATCTATTTATGGATGCAACTTCGTCCTATCCTGTTTGATTCTCAAAAAAAACGCTCTTGGTAACGTTTTCTTATGTATTTTTTTTTATCACTATCACTGTTAACTTAATACTCTTCATTCCTCAAAACATTTCTTAGAGAAAATTTTACGAAAACTACATTAAATCACTCAAGTTAAAAATTAAAAATTAAAAATTTCGCTTATCGTCTTTCGACCGCAGAATATCTAAATCAAAACATTGTGATGTTCATTATACAGATTTGGCAGAAAAAATCTCCCTTCCTGTTCGTTCCTTATCATCCAAATGCAAACCACATTGTTGACGTTACTCTTATTGCTATATGCTGTCAAATGAATTTCATGGGCCAAAGTTAGGAACATAGAAAAGAAATGTGTCCCTAAAGTTGGGTCCATGATTTACTTGTGAAAACGTTGTTAAACAATTAAAATAAACATAAAATATTCAAACAGTAACTGTGAGTTTTACGTCTAGTGTGTATTATCAGGTAATTCCATTCAATAAATGCCATAATCAGGCCATTTGATGATCGTCAGTGCAACCTTCCCATCTTAACCTTAGAAGTCATGGCGGCTAAAAACTCCGAACAGAGTGATATTCTCAACCAGTTTTATTACTTACGAGAGCTGAAAATGTATTGAAATGTTGTGATATAAATTGATTTGTGTGTGGTACACATTTATCAATCATCAGTGATCAATATTTTCCTTATTTTTTGTGTAATATTCCTTAATTAATTATTTATTTGCGTGATAGGCCGAATGAAAGGACTAGACCCACATTACATACCGTAACCCTATATGATCACAATTGTTTTCGACCTAAAATTTATTCGAAAAAGACGTTTTTGAAATTCTAGTATTCTCATAGGGGAAAGATAAGGGTAGGCTGTATACGACGTAACTGCATGGAATTTCACGAAACTTTTGGGTTTGGCTATGAAAACAGCATTATGGAAATTTAATATGCGGAAAAAGGTTTTGCGGTTCAGATCTTTCAGTTGATTACAATATTCGCTGTTTCTGATTGTTATTGCTGGAAATTGAAAATTTTGTTTCGCCTCGTTTGGTATTGATTAGACAAAAATTATAGAGCTTGAAATTAAACCCATGATTTTCTGCTCAGTAAGCAAAATTGGTCGCCACAAGGCCACCGAGCAACTTATATCACAAAACAATTACGATCAAGTTCCCGTTCAACTTGCTGTTACTAGTTTCCGATCCCAACGGTGACAACTGTTCGTGAGAATGATTAGATATGGATTTCCGATCAACATGTGTTTCCTAACACTTAAATATTGTTTCTTTTACATACATGTCCCTCCAACCAAATGTTATTACGTTTTATATCTTATTTTGAATAAAGTCGATTTAAAATATAACTCTATAATGTGAAGGAGCTTGAGATTGGCCCATGGGAACAGAAACCAAATGAAAATCAATGCGCTTTATCTCATAATAAAAAATAATAAAAGAGGAAGAAGTCAATTGTCACCTCTTCCTCTTAGGTAGTATGTAGTAGTATGAGCTACAGACGGTTGGAAGTACATTATGAAGCTAATCTCCGCCGATGAAAGTAATCATATCTATAGAGTCCTTCCTTGGACATGCTAGCGGAATCTTGTAAAATGCATACTCCTCCGGTAGGAGCTTCTATCTGTCGACTTCTATCAAGGCTTCCATAGTTGTCCCTCTCTGTTATTTCCTATCCATTCCTTATGTTCACAGGCATGCATTATTCTTATCAATGAGTATATATATATAGTATAGTAAATAGTGTTCTAATATTTATGGTTTTAATGAATTGCTTAAAATCACTTTCTCTGCTAACACTGCCGGTGTACCATAAGTCATATTCAAAACTGAAATAATTTCGAAGTTTCTTATCTTATCGATTTGGTATGATAAGATAAATTATTCAAAAACAATTACTCTATCTCATATGCGTTGTTAGAGAGGGGGGTCTTACTAATCCCTACCAGCGATCCCCTCACTCATATCAATAGAAGTATAGTTTCAAACTGAAATAACTTCGGAGTTTCTTATCTTATTGATTTGGTATGTTCAGTTTAATTATTCAAATTACTCAATCTCATAAGTGTAATTAGAGAAGGGGACGGGTTTACTATACCCTCCACCCCTTAAGTCTTATCAATGGAAGTAAAGCTTCAAACTGAAATTACTTTGGTGTTTCTCATCTTGACGAGTTGATATGTATGTTCAGATGTGTTATTCAAAAATATTTGCTCGTGGTTAAAAAAGGAAGAGCATTTCCTTCAACTGCTCTATTAAAAATTAACAAAAAAAACTGATACCTGTTGTGTTTGCTCAAACAAAAAACAGTTAGATTGAGCAAATATTTTTGAGTAACACATCTGAACATACCAACTTGACAAAATGAGAAACGCCGAATTAATTTCAGTTTGAAGCTTTACGCTTATGAATTTGAACAATCAATTTACAATTATTCATCTGAACATACCAAATCGATAACATAAGAAACTCCGAAGTTATTTCAGTTTGAAACTATACTTCATTGATATGAGTGAGGGGGTGGGGGAGGGTGTTGAAATCCTACTCCCCCCCTCCCTTCTATCCAACTACGTATATGAGATAGATCTATTGTTTTTGAATAATTCATTTAAACATTCAAATCGATAACATACATCAACTCAATATTGTTGCTTATGGTAGTTTAATGTGATTTAGATTACTTTGAAACTGGAAAAGTCGTTTTAGCTCACCTACCTTGTGAAAATATTTCAAAAATTTTGTATACATATTCAGCTTCTGAACTGGGTCGAATCCCTTTGCAAAAATAAGGGCCATAACCTCAGAGGTTTAAGGTTCCCTGACCAATCTCGTTGGGTGTTTATATAATTATGTGTAGTTTTAGCACTTTCTTTAAATTAATAATAAAGCACACATCTGCTAGTTTCACTTACCCTTTGATCCTTTCTTTTTCGGTATGTCTTTTTTTTTAATACTCGGAAAAGGTTCGATCTTTTCAGTATGTACAGTATGCAAAAAAAGTTTATCCACCCCCCTACCAATTCACATTTTTGTTTTGTTTTTCTGGTGAAAATCAGTTTAACTTTATGAGTGTTCCTCCATGATTTATCAATTTACGTTTATTTATCACATTGCCATTGAAAATACGGCGTTTATATCTTTTCTTGAGATTTCATGTGATAAATTATGAAAATTGGTAAAAAATTACGCAAAAAAAGTTTATCCACCCCAAAACGGATATTATGATTTAAGTGTGTTTTACAGAGTTTTAGTGTGTATTCTGCAATTTCATCGAATGTAAACATTGTGTCTATCTGTCATTTAGTGCTCTTGAAGTTTTCGTGATCAAAATTTCAGTTTTGTGTTCAAAATTGGAAGTTATTTGTTTCAAAATGCCCAAAAAAGACCAAATTTCGATCAGTATCCGAAATTTGATTATTGAACATCACAAAACTGGCAAAAGCTACCGTGATACTGCCGATATGGTTCAGTTTCACAAAGATACGGTCGCTAGAATTGTGTAGATGTACAAAAAGCGTGGTTCTATCTCACCAGCTAAGCGATCGGGGCGTCCTTCAAAGACAACTGGCCGAATTGACCGAGCTATCGTGAAGATGGTGGAGCTGGACCGGGGACTATCAGCTCCGAAAATTGCGAAACAGATTGAAAGCGAGTTTTACATTCAACTGACATCACAATCCGTACGAAATCGTCTTCATAAGAAAAGTCTTAAGGGCAGAGTAGCTCTTAAGAAGCCATGGTTGTCCGCAAAAAAGTTTAAAAAAAGATTGAAGTGGGCCCAGGACCACATTTCATGGACCATGACGAGACGAAAGTAATGCTATTTGGGTCTGATGGTATCAATGGTGACCCAAATAGCATTACTTTCGTCTCGTCTGACCAGATCCCCTTATTCCAGTCATCATTAGTCCATGAAATGTGGTCCTGGGCCCACTTCAATCTTTTTTTAAACTTTTTTGCGGACAACCATGGCTTCTTAAGAGCTACTCTGCCCTTAAGACTTTTCTTATGAAGACGATTTCGTACGGATTGTGATGTCAGTTGAGTGGAAAACTCGCTTTCAATCTGTTTAGCAATTTTCGGAGCTGATAGTCCCCGGTCCAGCTCCGCCATCTTCACGATAACTCGGTCAATTCGGCCAGTTGTCTTTGAAGGACGCCCCGATCGCTTAGCTGGTGAGATAGAACCACGCTTTTTGTACATCTACACAATTCTAGCGACCGTATCTTTGTGAAACTGGACCATATCGGCAGTATCACGGTAGCTTTTGCCAGTTTTGTGATGTTCAATAATCAAATTTCGGATTCTGATTGAAATTTGATCTTTTTTAGGCATTTTGAAACAAGTAACATCCAATTTTGAACACAAAACTGAAATTTTGAGCACGAAAACTTCAAGAGCACTAAATGACAGATAGACACAATGTTTACATTCGATAAAGTTGCAGAATACACACTAAAACTCTGTAAAACACACTTAAATCATAGAATCCGTTAGGGGGTGGATAAACTTTTTTTGCGTAATTTTTTACCATTTTTCATAATTTATCACATGAAATCTCAAGAAAAGATATAAACGCCGTATTTTCAATGGCAATGTGATAAATAAACATAAATTGATAAATCATGGAGGAACACTCATAAAGTTAAACTGATTTTCACCAGAAAAACAAAACAAAAATGTGAATTGGTAGGGGGGTGGATAAACTTTTTTTGCATACTGTATATCTATATTATAGAGACTTTCAGCCTTTGGCTGGTTTTTCGCTTTTTTTCAGAAATATTCAACCCACACCACAACCACACCTGACACGTACTGATCAATTTTTAAAACCACACCTCTCGATAATAACTTCAAGCACCCGAGACATCCCGCTCACTTCCAGCCTGTATTAAACTGCTTTATTCACGACGCCCTTGGGTGGGTTGAGTTTGGATATTTGATGCAATCAGCTAGCTGTAGTGCCTTTACCTACGTTACGGTATGAAGTTCAAACTATTTAAAGTTCTTTTGTGTGAATATCCAATTTCCGCCCTTCATCAAAGATACATAAGATGCTGGGATACCCGTTTTGGATATTCAGCACCCGTTCGTCTTTACACCACATACGCTAGCCAGCCGACGACGGACGTCTCCACACTATGCCGGGCTCGGGCACCATCACCGCAAACAAGCTCGAAAATGTATGCATTTATATATTGAATCGATGCATTATGGCGTATATTGATTTGGAGTACGACAAACACATATGATTGCACATTATGAATAATCGTCGGCCGAAAACAATTATGATGCACCATTATCCTAGATAAACTTTTTCTTTGCACGAGTCCTCTTTTTCGTGCTCGCTTTGTTTGTAACACAGTTGTTTCATATGTTCTCTTTTTTTTCACTTGTTCCCTTTTTTGGGTACCTGCCCATAGAAGTGATACGTACTTGAATATCCTCCAGCTGACAGCAGGCCGGTTCTAGATCCCGTATTTCGTCCAGTAGGAATTCTATTTCGTCTGTACCGTATAAATCAGAAACTGACGGTATGTAACGTTGGGGTGGTTGCATCTCCCGTCAGGGGGTACACCCCCATCACCGTGTGCGAAACTGGTCCGGCTCCCGAAACTGTTCAGAGCATAAAGGAGAAAGCAAATAAAATATAACGCTACGAATGTACGGTATGTCGGGGTGGATATCGAGCCCTGCCTGGCTGCGCTACCGATATGACGGGCAGAATAAGGGAGGATTTACGCGGTACGGGGGTAATGGGCCACTAGACTAGATTTGAAGTAGGCTTTCGGTCATCCCTTTCGTGACGCGACGGGGCGGGCTACGGAATAGGCAGAAGACCGACATCGTTGCACAGTGCGTCGAATATCAAAGGAGGTTGGTCAGAAAATAACAGCCTACACACAAGCTTTTGTTAATAGACGATGACGACAAAGTAGAGCACTCATATCATGGTGTCTCTGAAAGAAAACCTTAACTTAAAAAATCAGTATCGTTGAAACACCAACCAAACGAAAGCTTAGGCCGCGGCCAGAGTAGACGCGACACGCGACGCGACGCAACCATTTCAAAAGAATCTTATTATTTATTATTATTTCTTGATTTATAAAGCACATTTCAGCCAAAAACATGTATGGTAAACTTACCCCCCATAGATAATTTTGAAACTAGCCTCAAATGAACGAGGAGGACCTAAGAGTTCGTTTGATTCAGTGATGGTGATTTTTTAGTATTATTATTTTCCAGCCACAATGATATATCTCATCAGTTTTCGTAATGTTCTATTGTTATTTTTAAACTAATTAACAGCTGTAATGTTATTTTCAACTTAGCAAACAATATTGAATTTTTTTTAAACTTTGAGAGTTTTGAAAAACAAAAATATTTTGTTTTTGTCTATGGTTGAATTACATAGAATATTTCCTTAAAAATATTCACATCATATTTCTGAACTTCCTTAATTTCCTGAGAATCGTCCAAGAATGTACAGCTATTTTCCTAAAATAGTCCTGGAATTTTTACCGGTATGGTTACACATAAACTAGCCCGGGACACGCTAGTTATGTATGTATCTCCTATGAGATCATCGATGATCAACCAATGATTTTTGTTAATGTTGAGAATTTCTACTGCTTGGATCTGCGGATCCAATTATTTGAACCAACTCTTTTATTATTTTGATGCCACAATAATTTTTGACATGCTGAATTAACCGTTGCGAGTGAAAAGTAAATTTACAGGAGATAAGAGCGTCAAAATACTCTACTATAATTAAATCTATCTAAATGTGTTGCAGAGGAGTTGAATAAACGTGATCATACAAAAAAATAAAGAAATAAGGCTGAAAAACTGCAAAATTGTTGTGCCTTATGAACTGGAAACGTTGTGAGCGAAAGTGGTCTTGAGCAAAGTTTTTCAAGTGACCAAGGTTTTCTGGATATTATACAGATGAGTTTTTTTTTTATAATGCGCTTATTTTTCCAGGCTCATTTGCCGTAGCTTTGTGGAGCCGATGTTCATTGTTCAGGTTACAAAATTACTTAAAACTAACGTTAGTAAAGCGGGGGCCGATTACTCGCGGCTATCTCGAGGTTAGGGGTAACAAATTGTAACAAATGGATGGTAGGGTAGGGATTGAGAACACAAGGTTTGGAGAGCAATATGCTCTTGATCTCGAACTAAGCGACACTCTGATGAAAAAGACAAACATGGGGGTACACCGATGGGCAGCTAACAACTTGGAAGAACACAAGATGACACTAACTACTAAATCCTCAGATCTATCCGTTTTAAAAACACATAAATTAAATTGCAATAGTCGAGATCTTGGCTCGCCAAGATGTCTCTAACGGGCCGCATAGGTTGTTTTCCTCGGGCCCTGAGGGATGCGGATAACTCGGATCTAGCAACACAATGGAGGGTGCATGACCAAAGTACGTGGTCGATATCGTGATAGCCACTACCACAAGCGCACAAATTGCTGCCTGCGAGCCTGATTCGGAAGAAATGCGAATCTAACGAGTAGTGATTGGACATGAGCCTTGACATGACACGTATAAAGTCACGGCTCAAGTCCAATCCTTTGAACCACGGCTTGTTCGATACATGTGGGAAAATAGAATGTAACCATCTTCCCAGATCACTCTCATTCCATTTTTGTTGCCAGTTGGTGAGGACGTGCTGACGGGTGATTGAAAAAATTCTGCAAAGGCGATTTGTCGATCAAAAATATCGCCTTCCATAGCGCCCACCTTAGCCAACGAGTCCGCTTTCTCATTACCCGGAATTGAGCCATGAGATGGGACCCAAACTAAGGTGATAGTATAGGAGCAGTTAGATAAAGTACTCAATTTAGCTCGGATTTCGGTCAGGAAATACGAGGAGTGCTTCATCGGCCTCATTGATCGAATAGCCTCCAACGAGCTAAGGCTATCTGTAAAAATAAAATAGTGATCAGATGGTAGTGAGGCAATTTGCTCTACTGCGTAGAATATGGCTGCTAGTTCCGCAACGTATACGGAACAGGGTTTTTGCAGTTGATATGAGGCGCTATGAAATTCGTTGAATACTCCAAATCCAGTTGAAGCGTTTATAGTTGACCCATCTGTGAAAAAACTCTCTACAATGGTGGTACTTGTTTGCAAAAATTAAGGGAACAACCATCGACCGATGGTGATCTAGTATTCCACGGATTTCTTGCAACATGGTCAGATCAAAATTTACAGAGGAACTGTAAAAGTCTTGGAGGCAAACACGAGTGGAATTGAATGAAGAAGGGCCAATCTCCAGCGTCATGTACTCGTAATAGAGACTCATGAATCTTGTTTGAGGATTTCTGTCGAGCAGCTTCTCAAAGTTTTCTATTACCAATGGGTTCATTACTTCACAACGGATAAGAAACCGGAAGGACAGTTCCGCGAAACGATCTGTCAGTGGGAGAACACCCGCGAGTACTTCGAGGCTCATCGTATGCGTCGAGTGCATACAGCCAAGTGCGATTCGGAGGCAACGGTATTGAACCCGTTGCAGCTTCAAGATATGTGTTTTCGCCGCGGATTGAAAGCAGAAGCTACCGTACTCTAGAACCGACAAGATGGTTGTTCGATACAACCTGATCAGATCTTCCGGGTGTGCTCCCCACAGATACAGATGAGTTCATAATTACATTACGACGTGGCGCTAGCGTCCATCCGGACTGTGTAAGAAGATGCTATCTTCGAGAAAGTTGTTCAGATGATAAAGGCCCTCAGAATGCTAGACTCTGAACTAGCTCACTATGCAGCGCTTGTGTGCCTACTAATGTACAGCTATCCCTCTATTTGTGCGCATAATACGGACAGCATATATGGATTCCACGTAGCATATGGGATTTGGCTTAACTAGTTCCAACATGGAATATCTCGTGATCCTGGACAAATAGAAGGTTTCTGCCTTGGGAAAAGATGTTCAGTGGATCAATAGTTCAGAATTTCCTCACTACACGGCGCTAGTGTGGCTTTAACTTCCTGTTCAAGCTATATCTCGGGATACTTGCCATATAGAAGGTTACTATCTTCAGCAAAGTTGTTCAGGTGACCATGTCCATTCGGATGGTGGCCATATTAGTTCAGAACTTTCTCACTATGCAGCACAAGTGTGCACAGTGGCAGGACCCCGAACAAAACCTCTAAAAATTATGTTTTTAGTTCTGTTATTTTATTGGTTTCCCACGCATTGAATAACGTTTACTCCAAATTTTGTGATTATTGGATAAGATTTCGATATTTGACAACACTTTGAACCTTGCTAAGTCAGCTGATTTTGATGATTTGATTAATCAGTCAAAAAATTAGATATTGCTTCCATTTTATCATTTCTGAACCGATTTTGATGAAATAGCTTCCAATCTATCGGGAATTGAATCTTGTTTTAGTTTTTTTTTTTTTAAGTTTATAGTTAAATTTTTTTCAATACAAAAAAAAAATATTTAGAAATTTCTTGTATTCCCAAAGAATAGTTTCAACCCCACGTGTTTCTTAAATATGTTTAATACTCAGCAATAATTATGATCAACCATCTAAATTAAAAGGTTGAACTAATTCCTGACCGCTGTTCCATCTAAATCGGTCAAGAACTGATGAAATGGAAGTAAAATCTATTTTTTTAGGCAGAAAAGCTTACACACTTAGAAAAATTAATGTAAATTTAGGTGCTCTGAGACTGACATATACGAGCTTCAATTTTGACATAAAATTGAATCATAATAGACGCAAAATTCAGCTCAATCAAACGTAATTTCGAACTTTTCAGTCTCGTAGCACTTAATTTTACATGACAAGTTTGTTTACGTCTCATCCTTTATGTCAAAGATGGATTCCATCACGTGTAAGATTAGGTATTTCTAAGTGTGTAGCTACGCATGTGTTGAAAAAAATTGTCGATGATCATGGTGATTAGTATATCAAGCATAAAAAGTTATTAGGTTCAAGAAGTTGGAAGGGGTTGCATTAAATTAGTAGCTAAGTAGAATTAGTAAGAGTTGTTTGGTGGAATATTTTAAATATAGAATTTTTCATGAACGGTTCCTTTTTGGATTTGCTTAAGGAACTATTTTTTTTTTCAATTACCAACAATGGTATTTTTTTAATTGTGTAGCGCAGAATCACACTAAACAATCCTGAACTTAGAGAGAGAGAAGGATTAGTATTTTCCATTTAATTCCACTACCTTATTTGCTTATCCTTGACAGATACGCGTATTTCGTCTAATACAAGACACTGAAGAAGCCTGCACATTGTAGACGAAATACGCGTATCTTTCAAGGATAAGCAAATAAGGTAGTGGAATTAAATAGAAATTACTAATCCATCTCCCTCTTTATACAGGTGTTGCACTAAGACGCCCACATTCATCAGGAATCCAGAACTTTTCGATTAGGGGCTGTTTACAAACTACGTTGAAATTTGTTTAAAAATACAAGAAATGTTTACCTCTTCAGTAGTTATAAAAAAGTAATTTTGATTAGTCTACAAAAGTTTGAATCTCGCGCGAGTATTGCGGATATAAAGGACTGAATTCGGTATTTGATAAACAAAAAAATGAACTTAGAAGTTTATTCGGAAGATACTTTGAATTAT